GGACCAAAGATACAGAGGGTTGGGTAGGAAACAGAACTGACTTAATAACCTCATGACAACACAAAGCTCACATGCAGTAGGCATCTGACTTCTTAGCTGAAAACAGACTACAAGCTACCCAAATCTCTCAAATTATGAAAAAGTACTTGTATCCTACCAAAATAATTTCTTTGGAAAAAGAATTACAGATACAGAAACTATTAAATAACAATCATTTCATAAAATGAACACAATATCAACATTACCCAAAGGGAAAAAAAATCATAGCTAGTTAGATAAGACATTGTTCCAAAGGGCAGTAACACCTTCCATCAGACAGACAGTCAAGCAACACTAACGAGAAATTATTGCTAATGTAGTAATTCAGTTTATCTTATTATCTCTTTAGTAGGCAGTCAGGGTAAACTAAACAACAAAAGAAAATAAATCCCACATGAATCATAAACTACATGCAGAAAGTTGTTTAGAGAGGGTTAACGTGCATGTCACTGTGTTATGGAGACATGAAGTGCTTGGTGAGCCACAGAGCTCAGATCCCACGGGTTGTAAAGCACGAGCTGGAGGAGACCAGAGACAATTACATAGGATTGCTCTAGCTGGGAAGTTCCAGGGTAAAGGCAACTGTTTAAAATAGCATCCTCACCGAAACGAGCCCATCTCTAGAAGGATCAGCTGTCTTCACTACATCTTCAAGAGGCCACCAACGCTGGCTCAAATAAACTGCCAAAACTACAAAAAGAAAAAGACAGAGGAATATTTCACCTGCAAATACAATGTAGATTCTAAACCTTCCCACAAGCAGCCTCAGATCTACTTCTCCCTCCAACTGACTCCAGTTTGATCTGCTGTGAGGCAGTAGAACAACAATTGTATTTCAATTTCACCTCTGTGTCCCTCGATATCCAATTTTCAGAATCGCATGAGGCATCAAGTGAAGGTAATTTTTATCAGGAATTGATGTGACTTTGGTGTGACAACCTGTGTGCCATATGAACAAAGTACTTCCTGCATAATAGCAAGTTCAGTAGCACAGTAAGTTTGAGTGGCATTTGGGACAGAGGAGCTACCTGGATAAAGGTTACAGTTCTGAAGTTTCTTTCAGACTTTCCCCCGCCCACACACTCACATGCACATATTTGCACTCATACAAGTCAAAAGACATAAGTCCTCATATCTGCTGTATCAAACAGCTTTTCAGCTCTCTATGTGATTGTATTTCTACCTGTACCTTTAGAGTACAGACTCCTAAACCTCTGCATGGACAGATATTCACAGAGGTTCAAATGCACACAGAGAGGTTTCTATCAACAGAGGACAGACATATGCAGACATAAGTGAGATGCACTTTGCTCTGAAGCAGAAGTGTATGATCAACCTACATTAAGTCAACTCATGTAGGTGCAATGCAAAACTTGCACCCCACTTCTTCTCATCCTTCCTCAGTTTTTCACATATGCAGGAACAAGTATTTAAACCCTACTCCTACATGTTCATCTACATCATTGCCTGTCAATGGATTTACAAGAGAAAGACTGCAACAGCCACACTGAAATTACTCCCAAGCCCTGTTCAGAAAGAAGAGGTTTGAGGGTTTAGATGAGGTTTCAGAATAAACACAGAAGTCTGATCATTTATGACCACAAACACATCAAACAGCAAGTATTTCAGCAGAAAGAACTTTTATTATCTGTGCAGTGGTGACATTCACATAAAAAAATTACATGGCCACAATTTCAGGATTGCTCAAGAACTATCTCCAAGTAGAGCAGCTTCCATGGCCACTTTTAGACTAAAAGATAAAATATAATATAGGAAGTATGTTGCAAAGAACAGCATAGAGTTCATACCTCTTAAGCCCTAAGACAGTGCTCCATCAACTGGTGCTCTAACCTACCCAGCTAGGGACAAACATAAGAAAGTTCAAAACCATCTATGAGTTAGAGACAAATTCACACACAAGGAAATTAAATTATTTTAAAGACAGGGTTCATCATTTACACTGATGCACATGTTAGTTCCCCCTTTTGCTTCAGCCTCTCTCGTGCCCACTGGCTTTAAGGCTGGAGACTCCACTTAGCTAACTTATATTTCCAATAAATTATTAAAGCATGTGCCAGAAAACATTACACTTTGTGCAGTGGGTTAACAAGGAAGGAAGTACTGCACGCAAGGGCAGATGCCTCTTTATAGCACCACATTCAATTCATTAAATATTATGTACTTACTTGCATGGGAGTTTCATACTCTTTCTGTGATGGATTCAATCTGTTCCCTCAAACTCTTCCCTCTGCTTTCAAATGCAGCAGCCACTGCTCCATTACACATCCATGAAACATGCAGCTACAAAGGGAGCTGAGTCACACAAAGGGGACAGAGCAGGCCAAATGCTGACTTTAATGAGAGCTGCACAGAGGTTTGGCACACAGTTCAGACATACAAGACACACAGTAAAGGTCAGAAAAGTTTGGAAACCTTTGAGGAAAATAGGAAGATGCATAACCATGTTGTAAGGCGTTACTTTTATAGAACATTTACTGTGCTATTCAATAATTTAAATGTGTGGAAAGGAACACTAGTTGACATAGCAACTGTCACATCACATTACTTGAGCAACCTTATCTATATGGATGCCTTCCTTGAAGGAAAAACATTTCTCCAGATTTCACACAAACATATGTACTTTGTTTTTTGTTATCATTTTTCAAGTCAACATCTGGTCTGCAGTTAAATCCATCCATGCTTTCCCATACTCTCGTTTTCATTTTATAATCAACTTCGAGGAACACCATTTCAAATGCAAACATGATTTGTGAGACCACATGTTCCTTCACTCTCCCAGTCCTGTTGTTCTTTCCAAGACATTTGGTTACATTCACCTGATCATAAGAGATCAAGTTAATGCCAACACACACCACCTGAACCCTGTGAATCATGATGTCTACGATTACAATGACCTTGCAATGCAACACTTGATGTGCTTGATCTTGCAGTTGCAAGACCAGGTGAAATGGATTAGGTCCAACATATTTCAAGTCACTGTTAATGGAGTTTATACATGCTCAGGTGGGTGGCTTGCCCTGTAAGCACCAGCTTGATAAACCTCAGTACTGTCATCACTTGCAGTCAGACAAACATGCTCAGAGTGTTGCAAGAGGCTGACAGCCAGTGAAGCACAGGATTCCATACCACAGGGGCCTTCAGAATCCAGTACTGAGTTGAATTAGGCACTAAGCATAATGCAATTGTGATTATGAAATGTCTCCTTTTGCTAGGCAAACATGGATCCCTTCCCAACTCAGGCCTGGATTATATTTTTACTTTCTAGGCTAAGCTGGCCAAGTGTTCTCACACTGGTGTGCAACTACTTGAATGAAATGTGCACATCAGGACTCTACACAGAGAGTAAAGTAAGAAAAAATGAAGCAACATCCAGCTTGGTCCTCCTTTTTCCCCCTGCCGTCACCTGAATTGCCAAAACACATCCTTCAGACACAAACTAAATACAGGCAATGTTCTAGTTGAGAGATGTAATTTGAGATTGTTTAATAAATATAGACGGTACCACTTCTTTATCTTAGATAAAGTCATCTTTACCTTAATTTTGGCAGCATTTCAAATTAATGACACTTTATAGATCATAGAATTTAAGGGTTAGAATGGAACCTGAATTGCCAAAACACATCCTTCAGACACAAACTAAATACAGGCAATGTTCTAGTTGAGAGATGTAATTTGAGATTGTTTAATAAATATAGACGGTACCACTTCTTTATCTTAGATAAAGTCATCTTTACCTTAATTTTGGCAGCATTTCAAATTAATGACACTTTATAGATCATAGAATTTAAGGGTTAGAATGGACCTTACAGATCATCTAGCCCCACCCCAATGCAGTTCCTAACACAGAGTCCTTCTCCAGCTCCCTTGTAAGCCCTTCAGATATTGAAAAGTTGCTATGAGGTCTCCACGCAGTCTTGTCTTCTGCAGGCTGAATAACCCCAACTTCCTCAGTCTGTCTTCATAGGGGAGATGCTCCAGTCCTCTTAGCAACTTTGTACCCTTCTCTGGACTTGCTCCAAAAGCTCCACGTCCTTCTTATGTTGAGGACACCAGAACTGCACACAGTATTCCAGGTGGGGTCTTATGAAAGCAGAGATTGCTTTTGCCAGGTTTCCACCTTGGAAGGAGAATGATAAATCACTCCAACAAGCAGTTCCATGCAACCAAGCCTAGGTCAGATCTGCTACTGGAGCAAGCTCAGAGATCCTACATCAAACCACATTCTGCAGCACTGACATACCCTGACTGGCTGTGTCCTCCCAGTTTCCTGCCTTTAAAATGGAAGAAGAGTATTTCTCTCTCTTTCCTGAGAGTTCTGTTGAAATAAAATCATTCAAGCTTGGGAGGCACACAGATGCTGCAGGAATGGCAGCCATTCAAATATCTCAGACAGATCTTTCCTGCAACCAGCTACATTTTCTTCTACAATTTGAGTTTTACTCACTGATTTGTTGCAAATGTCTTGTGATAAATGTTCCATGGCATCTAACAGTTATTGTAAATTATTATATAGAGCATACAGAAAATGCCACAATAAGGTATGTTTATTTAGTCTTATAAAGATGTTAATCACCCATGTTATGCTCTGTAAGCCCTTACAACACGATTTACATTCTCATAAAAATATCTGTACACATACACTAACAGAACACAACACTCAGCCCATCAAAAATAAATTAAAAATGCTGCCAACCAAGACCAAGTCCTATGGAAAAGCTGCAATACCCATTTTCTCTGTGAAATATGCAGATCATTTCAGACCACAACCTACACATCACTTCTGGACAACTCATCGGATTGAGATGATCAGATATAAATCTCAGGGGTGGGATCCATTCCTCCTTAACCCACGGTCAAGAATTAAATGCCATCAAACTGAAACACATGGGGACAACCAGGAAATTTGCTTCTAAAGGCACTCCTGCTATGAAAGAGAACTATAATGCAGATGCAGTGGAAAGGTAGAAAAAGAGAAAGATCAACTACAGCAAAATAGTTTGCCTCTTGCATCTGGATGAAACTCAAGTTCACAAGAAGAGTATAAATCTCAAGTGAGGAAAAATAATCATGCAACCTGCTTAGTGTTTTAACTTTCGGCCCAAGTCCTTAAGCAAGGAAGACTAAGTTAATATATGTATTGTCTTTCTCTGAAGGAATTGGTTCTGAATCAAGTTGATCTCTTCACTGCTCAGAACCAAAGGTCATATAGATAAGTAAATCCAGATGGACTTGCCACATTCATACCCTCTCTGCCCTAAGAGTCAATTCCAAATCTGCTGAACTGTGGGAAAAATATTTGGAGAAAATACTTCAGATGTATATACCCATTGGTATGGGTCTGCACCATACACACACCCCAGTAGGCTTTAGAGGACTAATGAAAATTTATTACAACTTATCTAAAGAGAAAAATCACATCAGGAAATTTGCTGCGTGGAGTAAGGCTGACCACATGGTCATAGCATATAAAATCCAGAAACAAAGGACTTCCAGTAAAATCCTTTAAATCACAGTTTTAGAAGGAAATATTAATAGCCAGGTGACGTAGGCTTTACTTTAATAACTAGACTCACTGATCTCTCTGTTTCTGTGACTACGTGCTGGGGACTTAAGCTGAAGTTTTGCAAGGGGGTCACAGCAGTCAGGCTGTTGTTTATAATGCAATAAGG